CCATCAGCTTCTTTGGGGGTCCCTAGGTGTCTCATGGACCCCTGATGTCTCTATGAAGAGGACCTGTCATTGTAAATTTGCTATCACATAGGGGGATTTTTATCCCACTATGTGATGGCAATAAAGTTAGGTCTAGGAAAAAGTTTGTTTAAAAAAAATGACAGTATTTCAAAAAACTTGTGGATCGCCTCTATCTAGGCTCCCTTAAATAATCTCTCACCCTAATATGTATTGAACAGAACACACAGGGGGGGTTTAAGGGTTTTGTGGAGAGGGTATAAAGAACCACTGCATAAATAAAATATGAAAAAAATATTTGACATGTAGATTATTATTTACAGTTGATGCAACATACAAATTCATCTATACAATAACTAAAATCATATGCCCCATGAATACATATTCAAACCTGGTGTTCCTCTAATGGCAACCATAGTTAAACATTCCATGGATGCAATATCCCAATATAAAACCAGCATAATTTATCTTAATAGTTGGGTGATCATATTGACAATCCATTCATGATTAAAATATCTAGATACATATGACATATTCCATCCCTACGCGTTTCGCACTTGGCTTCCTCAGGGGATCGAAATTGGGATAATCGCACACATTTGGTGCCTGGAAGAGGGAGGATGTCTATGGACCGAAATGAGATGGGCGGCTAGCAATGCGGACCCACCACCTCACCTCGCGTTCGTCGTCACACCCGGGGCCTCAAGGGGAGAAGAGCCCCCAATTAGGTACCTTTTAATGTAAACATCGTGATTAGAAAACATGTTCAGAACCCATAGTGGGATATTAAATTCATGATTAAGTGTTCAGAAGAGAACTATGGGTTCGGAACATGTTTTCTAATCACGATGTTTACATTAAAAGGTACCTAATTGTTTATGACACATATAAATATATATACACATTGTAGATTGATTTTGACTACTGACTAAAGTACAGTGGCTTTTCCCACACTCATGGATATTTTCATTCACACTTTTTCAGGAGATGGATTAAGTTTCTTAGGCTAGACTAATGCACACTTCTATGATGATTCATTGCACCAACTTACATAAACAGACACCTCACTCTATAGAGACTACAGATGCCAGAGGCCTGGTCTTATATGTTATTTGATCTTTATAGGAATTGCCCCAATAAGGGAATGGCTGGGCTTCCCACATCACCCAAGGCGCTTTTCCCCTTGGGGTCCCGGGTGTGACGACGTACGCGAGGTGTGGTGGTGGGGCCGGATTGCTAGCTGCCCATCTCATTTCGGTCCATAGACATCCTACCTCTTCCAGGCAACAAATGTGTGCCATTATCCCAATTTCGATCCCCTGAGGAAACCAAGTGCGAAACGCGTAGGGATGGAATATGTCATATGTATCTAGATATTTTAATAATGAATGGATTGTCAATATGATCACTTAATATTAAGATAAATTTATGCTGGTTTTATATTGGTATATTGCATCCATGGAATGTTTATAACTATGGTTGCCATTAGAGGAACACCAGGTTTGAATATGTATTCATGGGGCATATGATACAGCACAATGTACCATCAGCTATAGAGGAATACAAATCCCAGCAATACATTATAGAGCACCATGCATGGGAAAGTGCAGGCTTATCTGAGCAGTCTTCCAGCAACTTGTTTCTGAGATCGGGCCTGTCTATCGGTGGCTGTCATCCGCCCACACCTGCTCCTCATTACTTCTCCCCGCGTCCCTGTGCCGATCGTGGATGTGGGCGGGCAGTAAGCGTGAGGCGCGGAAGAGGTGCGGCGTGGGGAGCGTGGATGCAGGCGGCTCTGGCAGCGGCGAGCGTGAGGTGGGGAGGAAGTGTGGCGCACAGCGTGTGTGGAGCCGTGAACAGGGGCAACCAATCGGAAGCCGATTAATCGATTATGTCGATTAGTTGTTGGAGCCCTAATATGATTCTGTATTGCTGAGATTTGTAGTCCCTCTACAGCTTGGAGTCAGTGGCAGAACTACCAGGGTCACAGCTGCAACCAGGCTCTGGCGATCCACCACTTACTCCAAGCTGTAGAGAGACTACAAATCATAGCCCGGACAGGAGGAAGAGGGACCCAGTGACTGTTGACCTTTCCATAAAAAGGCCCACCAAAATCTCCAGCTCCAGGCCCATGATGCTCTTAATCCAGCCCTGATAGAAACGTAAATATGCGTTGGGTGCGCCTACCTGCAAAAACTATTGCACCACACATGTTACATATCGCTGCAAATGTTGGAGTGCGCACAATAATAATAGGACCATTATTTACTGTTAACACTAAACTGATGAGCAGTATTAGCCATAGGTTTAAAGCTTTTAAACCTATGGCCAATTTTAGGTATAGTCGGTTTTTTTCGATTTCGGGAGTGTGCAATTCTAAGGCCTTGTTCACACCTGACCGTTTTGTAGCGCGTCCTACGCTCGACGAACGCTCTACAAAACGGTCAAAAATCTAAATAGCATTGTAGTCAATGGTCTCGTTCCCACCTGTCCGTATTTCCGCCCGTCCCTACCACGCTACAAAACGGCCCACGCCTGAAAAGGTCCAGGAGCTTCTTTGCGGCGTATTGAGCCGTTTTGTAGCGCGTTCGCGCCCATAGACTTCGCCGGGAACGGGCGAAATGAGTGTTTGAGCATTTTTGGTCGCAGAAATCGCGCATAGAACGCGCGTTCCGCACATGGCTACAGACCACTCCCATCTTGCAGAGAGCTGTTGCAGAAGACAAGATGGAGGATACAGCAACAGTAGGCATGCTAGATTCTGAGGCCTTCATATGGCTGGTGCAGGGAAGACCATGTCTATATGACATGCGTCATTCCAACTATAAAAATAGACGCATCAGGCAACGTGCATGGCTGGACATCGCACAAGCTACGTGGCTGGATTGGGAAACCTTCCCAAAGCAAGCAAAGGAATCCAAAGGTACATTAGCAATGTTTTTATGTGAATATTTTCTAATAGCTGGGAGCCTACTGAGAGGCCTGAAGAGGACGAGTTGGAATTGGCCACATCACCAACCGAGCCTTCCTTCTCCCCAGGACCACTGAGCCCACCCCCAGCAAGCATCACACCAACAACAACAGGACCACCTGTGCCCCAAGATCCAGGGTCATTCTACGCAGGCGTAGCGTGATCAGACCCCAGCGCCAGAGGTTTGAAAGGGAGGAGAACAGGCTGGTTGAGGTCCTGGACTCCATGTCTAATCCTCTCCCCAGGCTATCAAGCGCAGCTCATTTCCTGCTCAGCTTGGAGGAGAAACTGAACATGGTGCCTTTTTACATAGACAGTCGGCAGCACGGGAAGGACTAATCAGATTTGTTGACTCCCAACTTCTCCCAAGCTTATGAAAAACGCCCAGGTGTGAACAAGGCCTAAAGCTTGACATGTGTGGTGTGACCCCATCTTTTACCAAAAATTTGGGTAATAATAAATGTTTCATAACATAATGTAGGGGAAACCGTTTATATTTTTCAACATTTTTGTGACTTGTTTTCCTTATATAGTAAAAAAAATAAAAACCCCAGTGGTGAATAAATACCACCAACAGAAAGCTCTACGTGTCCCAAAAGAATGGTATCAAATTAATTTCAGTACA